AGCCGTAGTTGTTGCACAAACCTAGGATCCAGTAGGAAGTCAGATCCCTCCATAGTCCCCGATCTTTGCGAGAACTGTGAGCGGCATCTACGGGGGTAACCACCACTTGGGGATCATGCTCGGCCTCGGCCTCTTGCTGCTTGCTAGCCGTCATTTTGACCCGGCCAACTGAAAAGCGGAGAATATATTTATTATTTTCACATATGCATTAAAAAATTCTTTAAAATATGTCTAAATGAATAAGAGGTGTAATCGCGATTACTCGCTTTTAATTAGTTTTAGTCTCTTCTAAGTACAAACTTTTTTTCTCTTTGAAATAGCATAGAAAAGCTTTAAATAATGTTTAATTCCTATAAATTCTCTTTAATTTATTTCGAAACATATTTTCCAGTATACTGACATTAATATTCTTATCAAAATCTTTTAATCAGCTTAAGCAAGAATGATATTTCAAAGAAAATGTCGTTATACAGTTAACATAATTATACTTAAACAACACTCAAAAGCTTTATGATCTCTTAAATAACAGAAATTGCTTTGCGCTCTTTACAAACATTGCACTCTTACGTTTGTGTTTACTTATTGTGAACTAGACTTTAATTTGCTAAGCTGAGCATGTGCGTCGGCGGTCTTGAACTTGACAAAATGTGATCACTAGGGGAAGTCACTAAAATAAGTTTTGTAGAAATTACGTGCAATAAATGCTAAAAAGTATACATATTGCATTGAAGGTAGTAAAAGACAGCTGTTTAGCTGGAACTCAGGGTTTGACGGGTTAAAAACCTCGTTATTTACATATATAAATAAGGGCCTTGTGGCATATTTTCACAGCACTTATATTTATCTATTCATTTATTTGGTTTTGTAATAAAGTAAGTTTATGGCTTAGCAGGCCGTCAGAAATATGATCTTCTAATTTATCATGTTATTACAATGTAAATACGGTTCCGATCATGAAATGAAACTAAGGGGGAAATAAACTATTTAGGACATTACCGGATATCATATAGTATATAAAGAGCAACAGTTTTTTGGCAATGATTTGGACGGTGCAAAGTGCAGATTGTTCGATTTGTTTACATCCGACAGAACTTGTGACTGATGAAAAAAGCAAAGAGGAAGTAGGGACGAAAAAATGGGAAAACTATTCCGGAGCGAGTTCATTGCAAATATAGACCATGCATCATTCCCAATCACCTAACTATTTAAAATTAACGCCCCTCACTGACAGCCATAATTATCCGGACCATTTGAGTTGACCTTGCAATTGTGTGAAATAAGCTACGTAAAATCAAATTAAATAATCAACAATTAGCAGCGATTGCCGTTAGACAACGAAGTTAGAGCTAGCTAACTGGCACATTATTAAAACAAATTAACTAACGAATTCGATTTGTTCGTGCAGAAAAGAATGAAGTTCAGGCAACCGCACTGGTTCTGACTCATCCACAAGATTTGCGCATTTATAAAGTTGTTGACCCACTTAGGAGTGCACTTCCTATCCAATTTCATTTGCTAAGTATCCAAATAATTTGATACCCGTCCGAAATGCATTTCGAAATATCGACGGTAAACTGAGATTGATAGATGAACTTTTGCATGTCTTGCCTTGGACTTCAAATTAATAGCACAGCAAAAATTTGTGTCGATTATCTATCATCAATAAGAATTTCAATAATAATTTACCTCAATATTTGTAGAATCCCTATTAAATTACACCACTTAAAGTTCATTATTAAATTAAATGTTATTCATCTTTATATTAGTTTAAAAAGCTTTATGAATCCCTATGGTTTGAATTAGAAAAAAATTGATTTTAGTACCTTTAGACTCTTTGAAATACAAAATAATAACAATTTATTAAAATTAAACCACTCAAACTTAATTACATCTTTTCACTTTCAATTAAAACCTTTAAGTGTTGTTGCATAAATAAAATTTAAAATCTGGTTGTAGTACGTAATCTCAAGTTTTGTATTTGAAGAAAAGCACTGTAGTTATATAGTTTTTATATTTATTCTTCTGACACTTTTAAAATAATTTACAAGCATTTTGGGACAACCGATCTTTTTTAAATTCTGTGGTGGACTTTAGAGTAGAGTCTTACATTCCTGCCACTATTTCCCGGCTATTAGGTTTTGAAAGATCCGAGAGCTGATATTGATATTGATAAAAACGGCAACGACGAGGTTCGCGCTTCGAGGCGGCCAATGAGTGACTGAACCTGTGCGAACCCTCCCAACGGAACGAGAACCAATAACAATCGGCTACGACACAAAGCCAAGCGAATGGGACCCAAAGTGCGAGGTATCACGCGAGTTGCCAGCGGCAGCATAAAAAACTAAAACAATTGCAGATGCAGATGCAACAAGTGCCAAAGTGCCGATCAGGCAGGTTGATATACGTAGATCGGTAGCAGGTAACACACACATTACACATATCATTTAATTCAATTCAATTCATTTCAATGAAGAAAGCGGGGGAGGTTGAGGTCGGTCGGCGAACGTCACGTTTTTCAGGTTGGCAAGTGCCTTTACTTAAGGTTTATACACTCATAAAGAGTGTTTCTATGGCAAGAATCTATGAACTGTGGGAAATTCTTATCGGTTTAATTGTTTTTGACATTCGTTGATCTCAAACCATCTGATAATCCAACTTGTATCGATTAGATTATCAAGTGATTGCGTCATGAAAGATAGAAATTCTACAAAGTGTTATTGACGAGTATTTATTATTTTTAAAGGCTGGCTAAAAGGTAGTTAGGGACACATAGAAAATCGTTAAATTTAAAATGTGCTTGCATTGCGGTTAGCTGTTAATAATGATAAGCCAAAGCTCATTTTAATTGCATTCGGTTTTAAGTTAGGCAGTTTAAATGCGGATACCGTTGCTGCTGGCTTTTTAAATTGGTTTTTGTTCCCAAAATGATATAAGCACTTGTTCGGTTCACGTTTATTGCTTTACAACCGGAACACGTGGCGTATGCGTAATCTCAATTTCTAATAACAAAAAAGACATGTTTTTTAGGCAAATGAAAAGCTTTCAGAAGTAATTTAAAAATATATTAATATACTAATCATTTCGATACCGCTTACACAATTTAACATTACAAATGTTATTCAACTCAGCACAATACAGTTCAGTTATGCAAACAGAATTTACCCGTCAAACTGGAAATTCAGACTAATTTTAGAATAATTTATTTAACGCCGCTGTGAAACGGAAATCTGAACACTTTTCGAGACACTTTCTATGGTAAGCTGGCAATAAATTGGAGATAAAATGCAATAAACTGTTTCGCCCCCGAGTGAATAACAAACAATAAAAGCCGTACATACACTTTCGAGTTATTTCCGGCTGCGACGCAAACCGCTGGAGCAAAGAAAACCTACTGAGGACTTGTCGAATACGGGCCTAGATTACGGCCGGACAAGCTGCAATCGACTTATCATTATCGTTAAGTGGGCGGCAGATTAAATTACAGATAAGATGTTCCCGGCATTGGGCCATATAAATCTTAAGATATCACTCGGCAATGGCATTTCTCGTATATAACAGGCTCCGAGCAACAGAAAGGGTAATCAAACCCAACGATGGATGATGAAGGTGATGGCCATATAAACTTGCTCTCTTTCTTTATCTTCGACACTTAAAACTAATTATCGGACTGGTTGAGAGTGCGGGCCATAATAAATTCATGGGGTTCGCTTTCCTTCTCTAAAATACTTTGAATGGCTGGCGAATCCACCGTTTAAATTAAATCCGTTTCGCGCTCATTTAGCACGTACGGAAACCGCCAAAACCAATTTCACACCGCAGCCGCAAAGCAGGCAACACTTTTTTACTTTGCCTCCGGGTTACACATTGCATTTCAAAATAAAACATGTTGTTGACAAATTGCAAAATAAAGTGGTTGAGGCTGGCTGCTGTTCGACGGAAAGGGAAACCCGTGTTCACTGCTGTAAATAATTCACAATTGGCTGTCAATTTCGAGTCACTCCAAAGTTGTCCTCCCTGCAAAGGGAAAGTATCCCTTTATGGGGCAAACAACTTTGGCCAAAGCGACGGCCTGTTGACAGCAAGATTGAGCTGACAAATTGTTAAGCCAATTTATTATAGTAATATGTAGGGAATGCCGGAATGCCAATGCCAGTGAGTGCTGTTTGGCAAACATTTGTGTCAGTTGCAGTTTTTCGGTCGACAGGGAGTCATTTAAGAAATAAATTCACTTGAAAACATTTGAAGCAGCTATGCAAATTCACACTCTTTAAATAGTTGAAGGGTCGGAATTTCATCAAAATAGATATAAGGATATAGATAATTTTTAAAATTTTTTTTACCATTTAATAATCTAAACTGATAACTATTTAATAGTTTTTCCACTCCACAGACTGTTACCCACTCCACTCGAATCACTTTTATTGTGCAATCAATTTCGATAAAGCTTTGGCACAATCATTTCTAATATATGTCGCCGCCGGCCAAAATCATTAAAATAACATAAATCATTACAGGGCACAATGTGATTGATGCGGTGGGAAAACTACTGAGTTCGGTTGGGGAGGGAAATGCGGAAAACGGAGCACAAAACGGTGGACTGTTTTGTAATAGGCCGTATTAGGCCCACATTCTGTTATCTACCATTCACACGTGGCATCAGGGTCCAAAGTTTTCAATTCGAATGTGGCTGTGACTGGGCTGGAAAATGCAAATAAAATGGCCCGAAGAGGATGAATAAAATCATTGCCAAAAGTGAAAATGGAGAATAAAAAGTAACCGCCAAACACGAAAAGTTTTTAATGCAAATACGAAAATCGCATGGAAACATGGCCACCGCGTCCTTTGAAATCCCTCTATCCTTCCCTCCGTTTAACGAGGCGTGCGCTGCAATTTTCCGGCGCGAAAACAGGAAGTGAGGAAAAGCGTGCTCGCCCCTGCATAATTTTGCGATGCGAAAAGTTAATACAAAGTTTTTTTATTTTCTCCTGGGTGCAAATACTATATAGTTTGTAATTCAGTTTAAAGGGATTTTAAAGCACTACGGATGAAAGGCGGGACTGGTGAGAAAGCGCTTCCAGGCCAGTTCGACTAACAGGATGATAACCACCAGGATATCGGCGCAGATCAGCATGAGGAGAAGGGGAGCCACGTACTCCATGCCCACGGTAATCACGAAGTTTTGGGCCACGCAGTGGAGCTTCATGTGGACCCAGTAGCTGCGCTGCTTCCGATAGACACCAGTTTCCAGGATTCTGAGGAATCTGAAATATCAGATACACAAATCTATTTAAATTTTATAAATGCAAAATATTCACATATGCTTTTGCCGATTCAATTTAAAAAAAATTTTTATCAATAAACGTTTAAGCAAGAGCTATAAAAGCTTATATAAAATAAAATACAAGGAAGGGAGTTAATTAAATCATTTCCCGGTATAAACTTCTGTTTCAATTATTAAAATACTCAATAGAATTTCTTACCGAAGCCTAAAGAGTTCCTTGTACGAGGAGTTTCGATGCAAGTGCGTATAGAATAACTGCTCGGGACGGAAAAGAACCTCATTCAAGTCGCAAATCTCCTGGGCCGTAAAGTATCGCTCCACGTAGGCATAGCCAGAGGAAGTCTCGAACACGTAGACATATCCCGGATTGTCCCTTACCCTCAAGACACCTTGTTCAGCGGGCAGCCAAAGCTCTGGATTCATCGCCTGCGTTTCGATTTTGCGTTTTATAAACAAATGGATCTCCGGAAGTCGCGAGTACTGAAACAAACAATACTTTAAGCAGCGGAAAAGGTATTCGGAGAAGTAAACCAACATTCAAATAGCTCTTGGTAAAGGGCAATGGCTCCAAGCCCACGGTCAGAGGACTCTCCGCCAGCTGCTGCATCGTCTTGATCTTGGACTTGACGGGGGAACTGAGTAGCGACGAGACCACCACCGAGGTGTAGTAGTTGTACATGATGAAGCTGATCAGGAAGAGGGCAAAGTATATTAGTCTGCCGCCGGCTGATCGTGGAATCAATGAGGAACTCTGAATGCAGGCAGCTCCAAAACTGATCAGGAACGTGCTGAGCAGCGAGGGCAGGTAGTCCAATCGCCAGCGTTTTCGCATCCGCTTGCACTCCATGTAAAAGGTTATCCACAGGAGGATGCCGATTAGCGAAAGTACGCCTCCAAAGAGATACCATACCAGTGGACTGAAGGGCTGCAGGAATACGTCTCCCCGCAAACCGGCATGGTGCGGAGTCCGGAAAATGCACACCGACCGGAAGTAGCCCGTCTCGATGATGGCCGACAAGTACTTGAGCCTGCCTTCGGTGGCCAAAGAGGGCGTGGCCGTGATGTCCGCCGTCTGATCCACAATGGCACCCACTGAGCCACCCACCACATCCGACTTGCTCCAGCTATCCGAGAAGATGAACTTCATCCTGCAAAGCCAGAAAAATAACACGATTTATAAGGGGTTTCATTACCCGGAATGCCAAGCTTACTTGCAGTGAAGCTGGTCCCTCAGAATTAGAGTCAGGTGAAACCCGAATCTGACCAGTGAGTCGATGTGCGTCTCGTTCTCTTGGCTTAAAAATCTTATAAGCTCGTCTTCCGACAAAGTCAGTGGGCGTTGAGTGACCACCGTTGCCACTAAAGTACAGCTTAACGTAATACTCTTTTTAGATTATAAAGTACCAACCTACCTCTCAGGACAACATCAGTTAGCTGTTCTCTGTTTCCATATTTAGAACGCTTTTGCAAGGAACTTAGATACCGAATCTTTTGGCATTCATTTGGGTCACAAGCCATTTCATGGGATCCAGTCATATTCAGCTGACCTCCTATGATTTTACCATTGTTGTAGACGTCATAGACGGCATAGAGAACCGAGGAGTTGGTATCCTGGAATTCTTCCCTCACATAACTGACATCAGCATCAATGGAAATGTTAAAGGGTGCAAACATAACATAAAACTCCGAAACAGACTGGTTGCCATGCAAGAGCCAATGGTAATGCTGATTGTATAACTGCGCTCGACTGGCCTAATAATACATTTAACTGGAAAAGGTTTAAATATTGTAACGTAGAGTATCTCACCTCCTCCAACAATTCCTGGGCCTGATCGCACTTTATATCCACATAGATACCCAGCGTGGGTTGCAAATGACCCATGTAACTGAGCTCTAAATTTGACCAATCCTGGACTCCCTTCATTTGAACAAACTGATGATAGACAAGGATGGGATGAATGGGTTTGATGAACTGCTGGGCAAACTGAAGACCTAGAAATAGAAAGAGTTTTTACCATTATCAAAAGGGTATAGAATGTCCTTTCCCACTTTCGTCCCGCTGCCAGCAGTGAAAGAAAACAATGAACCCGATGCGCGACTGCACAAGATTGTCGAGCACAAAGTTGGCCAACTGCACCAGCTGCATTGTTGACTTTTTCACTTCGATTTTCCAGGCCGGAGGTCTCTTTTATATGTCCGCAAAGTCCCCCAATTTGGCTGTCATCAATGTGCGTTGTTTGTTGTTTGTTTTAAATTGCCCGAAATTGCTCGACAATCGCCAACGACCTTGGCCTGGGCTGCTCACCTCAATGCAGCTTGGAGTGGCGGTGCCAAATGACCTCCAGTCCCAGCACGCCCATGCAGACGATGATCGCACCTAGTAGAAGGATGAACAGGGGAGCGGCGTACTCCAGACCCACGGCCACCGTGTGATTATGCTGGTAGCAGTGCAGCTTGGTTTCCATCCAATAACGTTCGTGCTTTAAATGAATCCCTGTCTCCAGCATCCGCAACTCGCTGAAACAATATGAATATAAAACCAAATTGTGTTCAACGAAGAAGAACAATATCAGAAATATTAAATATAACTGGGGTTACTAGAACTTGATCTTCCAAGAAACCTACATATTAAAATACAAGATTTAAATTTGAATTAGAGTAGTAATATTAAAAATAATAAAATAAAATAAAAACAGAAAAGTCACTCACTCTTTAATGGCTCTAATGTTTACCCACTTTAGTTTGAATAGCTCCGCATATGGGGACTTCTTGGCCACAACCGAGTGGGTGTGGGAGGCATCGCGCAGTGGAATCTCGTTGAGCTCGCAGATCTGGTGGGGCAGGAAGTACTTCCGCACGAACTCGTAGCCCGTTGCCACGCCGGTGATGTAGACGAAGCCCTCCTGGTCCCGCACCGCCTTGACCCCGGCCTCGGTGGCTATCCAAATGCGATCCGGTGAACGCTTGCTGCCCAGCACTTTGTTCCGATACAGACTGCGCACGTCCGCCTCCTCGGAGGTCTCCACATAGATGCGGGTGTATATGGCTGGCTCAATGCCCACCTCCAGGCTGCTGTCCGCCAGCTGCTGCAGCGTCCGGATGCTCGACTTGGATGGCTGGCCCAGCAGCTTTGACACCACAATCGACGTGTAGTAGTTGTACATCATAAACGAGGTCAGCATCAGGGCAAAGAAGGCCATTCGCCCGCCCATCGATCGAGGTGTGAACCATGCCCCCTGAATGCAGCCAGCTCCGAAGGAGAGGAGGCAGCTGGTCAGCAGCGAGGGCTTCCACTCCTTGCGGCGCTCCAGAATGAAGGTGATCCATAGAAGAATGCCAGCCAGGAAAAGGAGAAGGACGAATGTCAGCCAAACGCCTCCGCTGAAGGGTTGCAAGAACTCTGTGGCACTCAGACCAGCGGACACGGACCGGGGATTCCGGAACATGCAAATCTCCCGGAAAACACTGAACTTTGTGAGGGGCTGCAGAAAGAGGCCCCGATCAAAGGAATAGATGAAAGGAGCTATCGCCAGATCAGCCACGTCCAGGATAAGATCCCCAATCATGCCGCCCGTTGCATTGCCATCCGACCAGCGATTTCTAAATATATACTTAAACCTAGGGGTTTCCCTTGGTACAATTTAGAAATCCTTAATCTTAAACCAATTCCTTACTCGCAGTCCAGCATATCCCTCAAAGGTTGTCGAGCCTGATAGCCCAATCTGCCGTACGTATCCAAGTAAAGTTGTTCCTTGGACTCCATGAAATCAAAGATCTTCTGTCTAGAGACATTCAGCGGTAAATGGGTGACCTGTATTCAAATTTTAATAAACACTGCAGAGAGTACTCTGAAAACATATACATACTACAGCAGTGGCTCTCATGGTTAATCCAGTAAAGGACTTTCTGTGCTGCAGGAGATTCCTTGTGTGTAGATCACTTAGATATCGTTGTACTCGACATTCCTGTTCATTGCAGATAACTTCCCGATCCAGTGTTATATTTAATTTTGCACCTAGCTGCCTTCCTTTGTTGTGCAAATCATACAATATAAAGTTTTTCGAAACAAGATCATGCTTGACATAGGTTACATCAGCATCGACAAAGAGCTGAGCCTCTTTGAATTGATTTTCTATTTTGGAAAATTCCATCGACTCGTCGTAGATAAGCCAATGATAGTGATAACCATAAAGTCTCTTTGCACTGGCCTGCAATTGTTTGTTACTCAAGGAGTTGTAAGTCATAAGGCTGTGTATTTTTTACCATGTCCAAAACAACACCGCTTTGATTACAACTGATATCCAGGAAAACGCCCAACTTAAGAATATTGTGATTGAGGAAGTCATTATTCAATTGGAGTGAGGAGTCCAATGATATAAATTGGGTAAATACATTTTTAGACTGTGCCATCTTCGCTAAGTGTTCAAGTGCTGAAATGAGAAAATTAAATCGGATATCTAAGAATTACCACTGATAAACACTCACAGTCCATTGACCAGCAGTGCAATATGAAGACATGACTCAATTTAGCCATGTGCAGAAAATTGTATAGAATAAAATTGTGCAATTGCTGCATGGCAAAATCTCAAACAAAGAATTGCTAATTAATGGTACTGATTATGAGTCAACTTGGCTTTTTATAGGGTACTCATAATGCCGCTGCAAGTCACATAATCAATATCAAATTAGTCGCTGACTGAACTTGATTGGACAACTTAATAATATGCGAAAATAAGTTGTCGACAGTTTCTGTCAAGTCCAATCAAATTGGAAAGAAATAAAGACCAATTTGCTGGCAATTTAAATGGTTAAAGAAATGAAAAGCAACTTACCAAGGTTTCAAAAACATTTCGGCTTACTGATTCCTGGGTAAAATGGTTGCTAATTTTTTTTTAACAATCCGGGCCCAACCAAGTTCCAAGATCAGGATCAGCAGGCCCAAAAAGTAGGCCACCAGGAGGGATATGAACAGTGGAGCCGCGTACTCCATGCCCACTTGGATAACGAAACTGTTGGAGAACGTTTCCAACTTTGTCTTGCTAAAGAACCGACTCTGCTTCGAAATAATTCCGGTTTCCAGCATCCGCACCTGCAACTGGGTGAGCAGTTGTCGATAGGTGGAGTTCAGGTGCACGATTCCGTAGACGGCGCTCTCGGGTCGCAACTTGATCTCGTTCAAATCGGAGATTTCCCGCGGCAGGTAATGCTTCTCCACGAAGTGGTACATGAAGGAGGCCTCCGATGTGTACACGAATCCGGGCTGATCACGCACTTTGATCACACCAACCTCCGGAGAAAGCCAAACGCTATTGGGATCCCGCCTACTCTCCACCTTCTGTTTGTAAAGGCTTCTAATGTCTGGTCGGGGCGAGGACTGAAATATATATTTACTTAGTAAAACTTTGGAAACCTCTTAAAGGTGTGGATTTTTTTCTTATAACATAATACAGGAAATACATTTTAAATGATTATGAATTCTTTTGTTACGTCTTTTAGGTGTTTCATGCGAGGCAGCATGAGCCATCAAAAGTAATTTCTAAGACATCGAGAATCACACTCACCACCAGATATGTTTTGGTGAACGGCACCTTATCAAAGCCGACGTCCAGGGAGCTGTCGGCCAACTGCTGGATAGTCCTGATGTTGGAGCGGACTGGAGATCCCAGCAGTGTGGACACCACAATGGACGTGTAATAGTTGTACATGAGGAACGAGGTCAGCATCACGGCAATGAAGGCCAGCCGACCACCTGCTGACTTGGGCATTAGGTAGGAACCCTGAATGCAGGCTGCTCCGAAACTGATCAGACAACTGCTGAGCAGTGAGGGAATAAAGTCCAGACAGCGCTGCATCCAATGGCGTTCCAGGATGAAGATCAGCCACAGCAAAACTCCGGCAAAGATCAGGAGTGCGGCGAAGGCGAACCAAACGCTCGGCATGAAGGGCTCCAGGAACACGGCTGCCTTAATGCCGGCATTGTGTGGAGTACGGAACATGCAGACCGCCCGGAACTGGGACTGCTCCGTCATGAGATGCACGTAGTGAAGGCGTTTCCAGGAGGGCACGAAAGGGGAAGTGCACAGCTCAGCGGATTCATTAGTCAACATACCAATAGCTCCACCATATGCATCCTGAACGCTCCAGGTGTCCAACCAAATATAGTGTAGCCTTAAAATATATAGAGTGGTAAATAAACTTTAAGAGCTAAGAAATGCTTGTAGATAAATAGTTTGGCCCAAAAAAAATATAGAGACAAAATGGCAACACTTTAAGCAAACTGGGCAATGAAAACTTCATAAAATGTTCATGTATTAAACCACTACTTATTTTATTTATTTATTATTTAGAAGTACTGTATCGAACTGGACTGGATTAAAAATATTTTGAATATTTTATATTGCATAATTAAAGATACCCTTATAAAATACTCACTTGAAACCGAGTAATTCCTGAGTGTGCAGAATTAAACGATAGCCGATGCGGGAAAACGAGTCCATGTGGGAATCGCGGTCGCTATTAAGGAATTCGAGAAGTGCCTCCTCACTGGAATCAATGGGTAGCGCAGAAACCTGAATGAAAACCATAAATACCAAGGCTGTGGCTTTTACTTCACTTTTTAGCCAACCCACCACAGCGGCCAATCGAAAGGTAACGCTCGATAAATCCAAGCGGTGCTGTAGTCTAGTTCGCAGATGCAAATCACTGAGATAATCCTTAACCTGGCAGCGACTTTGATTGCACTGAAGACTCTGGTCTATGGTGATGTTGAGCTTGCCCCCCAAGTGGCTCCCTTTATTGTAGACATCGTACAATGTAAATACATCCTCTTCTTCACGACTGACATACGTCACGTCCGCATTCAGGCTGAGATTGGCTCCCTCAAATTGTTGCGTTAACTTGGTTAAGTTACCTTCCTCATCGTAAAGCAGCCAGTGTAAGTTATGGTTAAAAAGGCGAGCTCGACTGGACTGTATAAAGGAAATATTAAATACATTTAAAATTAAACATATCAATATGTTAATATAAAATGTATTTTAATCAACTGATTTATTTATAATGCGTATTTCATTATTTCAGTGACATAGCCCAAAATACTCTTTAAATAATAAACTTAATGCTCAAAAGGTTAAAATGTAGTGTTTTTTCAAAAGCCAAGATATGGTTTATATAGCGTTTTCCCATTATATTGTATAGAATATTTTTATATTCTCACCTGATTGGTTATAAATTCAGCCTGGTCACAGCCCATGTCTAGAAAGACACCCAACCTGACTAAATCGCTATCCAAGTAGTCCTTGTGGATGTTGGCCAAGTTTTCAGGGTCCTGTTGCAGGTCGATGTATTGCGAATAAATGCCGTTCTCATTTAGCATCTTGGCTAGAGGAAAAGCCTCTAAAACATGCAATTATATCCCATTGGAAATATTAAAATATTTAAATGAAAATGTGGCAAATCTCACCCTCTAACGACCAGCAGTAAAACACCATCAGATTGCTCAAATTGACTTCCAGCAGATGGAAAACAACCAACCTATACAAAGGTAAGGCAGTCATCTTGACCACTTTCTTAGATTTTGGCCAGACTGCTGACTCTTTTATAGCCCCAAGTTGCGCTGTGCGACGAGGCCAATTAAGTCATTAGAGCCAAATTTTGGGGCCAGTCATCAAAGTTGAGATTTTTGACTGGCAGGTCAGTCAAATTTTGGGACCAATTTCGGCCAAGAATACAGTGAAGATGGAGCAACAAGTGGTTTGGCCAAGGCGCCTGCGCAGAATTCAACAGCGTAAACAAAAGTGCATGGGGGATTTATGAATGAAAGTCGGAACGGTGGGTGTGGATGTGGGTGTGGGTGTGGATGTGGGTGCTAATGGATTCCTGAGCCGGGTGAATGGGGTGGGATTGTGGGTCAGGAGGGCAGTGCCGCAGGCTCTAGTGATTTTGCGCCTTTTGCATGTTGGCCCACGATGTTGTCGTGGCACTCGCATCCTGCCACTGCCGCCCCACAAACGCTGCACAATTCAATCTTCTGGCCTGGCCCGCTTGGTCTCAATATCATTTCGGCTCAGTCTGCGTTGCGCGCTTGGCGCGTTTTGACGTATCTCCGAATCTCCGCATCTTTCTCTGGAAATTCGCTCGGTCCCCGTTTCAATTCAATTCAATTCAGTTCGATTCGGTTTGGTTTGGTTTTGGTTTTTGCCTTTGTTGGTCGTTAGTCAGTTTGTTTACTTTCGCCGCTCGTTGTCGCAGTTATTGTCGTGTGACTCTGGAGATTTGTGTGTATTTTTGGTATGATTAGTGCGGATGAATCTACGCATCCACGTAGGCTGAAAAAACACAGCTGGATATGATAATTCCGGAATGTGTGTGTTATTATTGCTTGTGAAAAATGATTTTAAAAAAATACGCCTAAATTAAACTAATAAATCAAAATTTGCCTAATTTTTAAGTTAATGAAAATAATAATCTACAAAAAATTTAAGTTTCGTTCCCAAATGTTTTTATTTTATTTTTCAGTTTTATAATGTATTTTTGAGAAATAAATAAAGTTATTAAGAATTTTAAAACATAGAATAATTAATTATTTAAACGTTATTTAAAACATTTGGTTTGAATACAACACAAAATGAGTTACAAGGCGTATGCTTCATATTTTTATAATGGCAATTTTTAGTCTTGAGCAAAGTCCTAAAAATTCAATATAGAAAATTTAAAGCATTTGAAAACTAATTTTAGCATTTTATAAATATAAATATACAACACAAAAATTTTACGGAATATCAAGTTACCAAATGCGACAAACTTGAGATTATGCAATTATGGCATTTTCTTGCAACGATTTTTTAAAGGTTCTGAGGCTTGAATTTATGCTCTAGGAAACGAAAAAACAGAAATCCGTGCGATTCTCTTACCAACTCAAGCCACAGACTCTAATTGACCTGTCAAACAGTAATTGCATAATCCTCCCACACTTTCCCTTTTGTTAATGTGCTTTCTCAATTGAGAGTCAATGAAACTGTCTAAATCAACCTAATTAACAAAGCTATTATAACTAATTAGAAATAAAGTATTTAAAAAGTGATAATAGCAAATAAACACCAAAATCAGTTCATTTCATTAGTGACAAATTGAGCATTGAGACAGATATATTTGCAATTAAAACTAATTGCTAAAGCTCGTACGATAAAAATAAAACTAAATGAACACATTAAGAATCAATTGAAATGTGGTCATCCGCACTGGGCCAACAAATGAAAAATTCACAATAAAACCACAAATATGACATTTTCGAAAGGAACAACTAAAACAACATGAAGTACACACTGTAAACTACTGCAGACACTGAGTGCAAATAAAATGCAATTATCGCTGATTTAAACGGACATAAGAGAATCATAAATTTTTCATGAGCACCACATGGCCACAGGGAGGAGGGCAAAAAATTTACGCCAACACCCGCAAGTAATCCACCAGAGGATTTTGGTAAACCAGCAGAACGAAAACGAACTATTAACGAAAACTATTTACTGGGGGAATCGGTTTGGCGACGGCAAATGGATAGAAACTAAAAAATAAACTAGAAGAAACGATATTAAAAAGCAATTGTTAGATCGCAATCATTTTAATTTATATTATTCTTCTTAAATTATAATCAACGTTTGTGTACGCAATATCAATCTCTTTAATTCGGAGGGAGGGATTTGCAAATTTCTCCTTTTCATAAATAAGCCTTTGGAAATCTGATAATAAAACCAATAATTTCAATTCAATTTCAACAAAAAATTGATGAAAAATTAATTTTTTTTAAACGTATGTTCTTTTTGTACTTTAAAGGAAATTTAATTTTTAAACAGTTTTTTGACAGTTTAAAATCCTTCTTAAAGTGAATAATTTCTGTAGTTATCGCATAGTTTAAGGCTGCCTTAGCCGACTTTTTTATAACATCTTGTTTGGGTATCCGCTTTTTCAAAAGCTTTTATCTTTTTTGGCTGATTTAGCATTTTTTTGTTGACGCCGCTTGAGGCTACGAAACATCTCTTAAATAGAAAAATGCAAAGCATGAAAAGCGGCAGTTGGGGCATCGCACACTTGAGATTTACATTGTAAAGTGATCCGCACTCCCCCCGCGCTTGTCATCTATATAGTGTATAGTATACGATGCAAGCTCACAAAAAACTGCATTTAAATTAATTGAATTTTGTAGATTTTTTGCGGTCGAAGGGGCTGCCACGGCCCACAGCCCCGACCATCCTGTCCTTCGGTTCTATTGCTCTTATTGAATTGGTTTGGGGATTTGTTGGCTGACCCACAAGTCAAGACTGTGGCGTGTCTGGTGAGGCAGGGCCACCACAAGCTTACTTAGGCGTCGTCCGAATGCGTTTTGTGTGTCATTATTTCAAAAGGGGAGCGGAGTGAAAAGCTCTTCCATTTCCATTTTTTGTATGCTCTCCTTACGGCTGTAATGCTTTGCCTGCATTTGTGTTCATTAAATTTGCAAGTAAGTTGAAATGTTTTTGTTTACTTCCACAACTGGCCTTGCTGAGCCTGGCCAAATGGAATGTTCAAAAATTATAAATGAGTTTGCATTCCCATTTGTGAGCTAATGCATGAGTGCCGAAATTGTTTGCTAGCTTCTGCAAAGATCATGTGTTTCATTTCCTATAACCTTGAAACTTTTAGAGTTTCCTAACATTGTAATGCATATTAAGAATGGTATCGCAAATAAAATTATCCAATAAATTATATAGTGTTATATTATTAAAGACCACTTTATTCCGTTTGAATTTGGCACCAGTCATTTTTGTGGGCTTTAAAAATACTGTCAAATAATTCTAACTCAGTTTACGACTAAAAATATATATTCAAATAGCAGGGGCTATCAATAAATTGGAAATCATTACATCAGCTGGAGTCTATATACTCGAAATCGGTTACTGAACAAGAGAATCCACTTAACAGTGACAAGAACAAACATTTGTGCATTATAATGCCCCGATAAGAGCGAATCAGCTGCATTTCACGCTTCCCTAATCCTCTCCAGCTCCCTTCGACAAACATTTCCGCAGCACGTGAGCCAGTTAGGGGGGGGGTGGGGTAGAAATCCAGCAGGGGGCAAAAGCTACTGGAAGCTGGGATCGTGAATTCCGGAGACTGGGAACTGGGCACGTGCCTGTCGCTCAACTGTGAAATAATTAGAGCAATTGCATTTGCCTAGGGCCAAAAAGTTCGCAGTGGGGCAATCGCAGGCTGACCGCAGTGGCGAAATTTTTGATTTCATTTAATTAAAATGCGATTTTAATGCTACTTAGGTTAACTGGAAAACTTGCGGCATCATTCTCATTCCCATTTCACACGCAAGGCCACAAAACCGTGAACTAAGCTGCTCATATATATATTATTCCGTATGCGTCTGTGTGCTGTGGCCAAATTGAAACGCTCATCTCATTTGCAGGCGAACAAATAATAGAGCCAACAGCCTGCTCCCGACTTCCCATATAAACCACCTGCTGCTGGCGCTTCCGATGAGCCACAAAATATATAGGGACGACCATATAATGCACCCAAAGATAGGCACCAGATGCCAGGCACATCAACAAAATAGGAACCCCCTTTTTTTGTATTTTGGGGGCAAATCTGTCATTTAAAATACCCTTTACTTCACAGCTGAACTTGAATATTAAAAACAGTGGTCATCAAAAATGTTATTTTTGTCATGGACTTTTCGGAAAAATGAATTAGAAAATGTTGATATTTAAATAAGTGTTAAAAATTTTAATTTAAAACTATAATTGAGCTACAATTTAAAAATTTATTAAATATTTGAATTGGTTTATTTATATGTTTTAGCTTTACTTGGAGTATACACATAAAAGGATTGATTATTATAACAAAATGATGATCAGTTGAAGTAAATATTGTATTTTTCCAATCAAATGGCAATCAATCATAGCAAGGTCCATAAACCACCTATGATACTCTGCATACCCTCCTTTCCAAGTGGACGCCTTCTAACAATGCATTTCCTTCCTTCAAAAAAAAAAAAGTAGAATGTGTGGCAAAATATCCTCCAGCAGGCAAAGGGTATAAAAGGAAGGTTGAGGAGGCGGGGTAGCGAACCGTCAGCAGCCTTCAAAAATTGAGTGCAATTTCGACGCTGATGAGAAAATGCGTTGAACGTGCTCAAGTTGCTCTCTGCCAAACCGAGGAAAATTGTGTGGGAGGCGGCAAAAGTGGGTGTTCCTACATTTAACTTTAACCCGTTCGCAGCAGTTAACAAAAGCCGAGGAAAACGAAGACCGCTAAGCAAGAAATTATAAACGAAAAAAAGGGACGTTCAGACATCAGAATATGGGGTTTCGGAGATGTCTGTTGATGGCAGCAATTTGTTTGTTTGGCGAAACTCTGCCATCAAAAAGCAAAGTGAAGTGTAATTAACAGCCAAATAAAGAGAAGTATGTGGCTCCGATTTCAAGCAGGAAAAAAAACCATATTTTATGGAAAGAAAAATAGCAAGGCCGATGTGCAAAAATAATATTCATATTCTAGAACTTGTACT